TCCATGAAACACATTGGTCAAGCTATAGACAGTTCAAAGCAGATATCGTCCGATCAGTGCACTCTTGCAGTGCCCGGACTCCGACCACACCTCAGAGTCAGAGTGAGAAAGAGAGAGAAATCACCCATGATAAATTACTTTTAGCGTTGCTAACGGCCGTTATAATTCGACTGAAGTCTGAGAGCGGAGCATTCTAGCATGCCCCTTCTCGACACTGTTGCAACTTTTTCGTGTCGTGTTCTTCGCCCATGCAGTTTATGCAACGAATTCGCACCATCGCAAGCTACCAGAGAGCGGTCTGTGGATAGAACCTATTCAGATGGAAATATTCACTGCCAGACCAGACAGAGACCAAATCTCTGATTAGACATTAAAAAATTCAATTCACAAATCAATAAGCGGAGCAAGGCCGACGGCTTTTATATGCTTTGAAGCCAGGCTTAGATTCGCCCGCCCCCCGTCTTGACCGACAACCCGATCACAGAGCAATTGCTGTGGGGCCAACTTGATGTATCTTTGCCGAGGGTATTATCGGCTTGAGCGGAGGATTTGCAATGCAGAAAGTGAAGCTAAGAACTAAATAAATTCTGTATCAACATTGATTTGAAGTCCATGTGTCTGAATCTTTGCACAGAACCTTCTTTTTAATGCACGAAGCACTATATATCATAGCCATCATATCAACTCGTAGCTACAAAAGCAATCGGTTGAAAAACAACACTTTTTATGAAAAATTGTTTCTTCCTAAAGATAGTCAAACCAAAACGACAACAAATATAATTATGTCTAGTAAGTTCTCTTCAAACATAAGGAAAACCGTATACTAATCCGAAAAAAGATCACTTTGCAAGGGTATCAAAAGCTTCGCCCTCGAATATACAAATCGTAGCCTTCCTTTCATGCTGCTGACAATTGAAATTGGTGCTCAACCACTTCGACATCGGAGCCACTCCGACGACTGCAGACTACTAAGGCCGCTCCACCGCTCCACCGTTCCACCGTTCGACGACTTGGCTCATTGAACTTGGCTAACTCTAGACGACAAATACAATGCATAAATAACAATACATTAAGAAGCAGACAAAAGCAACGAACCTCCCGAGTCGCGTGCTGTTTTCAAATGATATTTTTTCACGTGAAGAGCGGTGGCCGGGGCATGCGATTCATGGCGAATTCTTGGGCTCAAACATTTTCTCAAAAATTATTGCATTGTATGTGCGCCTATTTTTAGTTCTGTTGGCAAAACGGAACAGGGAAATCATCTCATCACCATTAAATCATGCGCAGAAAAACAGTCAAAACAAATTGGCAATTTGCAAATTGGCAAAAGGCAAATAAAATTAATTTATGAGTAAAATATGCGACTCATTCAAAGGGAAGACATACACGGCTAGGGGCCACGACTTCCAATCCAGTTTAAACTGCCTGCACTTCATTATTAAAACAAACTACTAAAGGTATTGGCTTTTAGTTGCTTATACCAAGAATAAATTATGGTAATTTTTTCTACGAATTTAGGTGTTGCGTAGTCGAAAGGGTGTCTGGTTTTCGCCAGTTTCAGTTTCAGTTTCAGTTAGAAAGTTATGTACAAAACAATGATCTGTTGAAGCTATCTCTGATGTAGAACTTCCCATAACTTCGTTAGGTATTCAAGAGAGCAATTACTTGTACTATGAAGGTTTTTCCTCATCAATAATTCATTTGGCACCTTTTTCTACCAAGTTTTCCCATGGAAATCCATTGACTCATTCCGACCGATGCTCATTCGATACAGTTTCAAAAAGCCAAAGACTTATTTTCTGAGAGTTCCATTCATCAGCTAACGACTTCCGCATGTCTTAGACTTGACTTCTGGTACAGGCAAACCCGTACCCGCTGTACTTGAGATTATGCAGAGAGTCATTCAGGTTTACAGCGGAGGGAAAATGGGTGCGGAAGATCGTAAGAGGCAGAAGATCAGATCTCGGGTCTCATAACGTGCATGTATCATATCTGATCTGCAGTCAAGATGTCAACGAGAGCAATTAGATAATATGGCAAGAGACTCGCGAGATTGAAGAACCGGAAAAATTGTAGCAATTTGCCAAATTTTCCATATCTTTAGCGAGAGATGAGATGAGAGATTATCTTAACTGGAAGGCAGTAAAATGTCCCCAAATTGCCCACGTCATACAGATACATATTTTCTAATTAAGAAAGGGGAATGGGAAGGGGAATGAATCGCAGCTAAGTCCAAAGCTAGAGACAAGTGACACTAAAATTGGCGACATTTGCGAGAGGTTTTTCGGTTTTGTTTTATTCTATTTTAGCACGTTTCAGACACGGCATGAAATGCAAGGCACTGGGGGTACTACTCGTACAACTCGTACGGGTATGTGGATGGGCATGAGATTGGGTATGGGATTGGGCATGGGCATGGGGCAACGCTTCGCTTGCATTGAACTTGACATTCGTTGAGGTCTGCTTTCAATTTAGAAATATGTCAGCGGCACAGACTATTTTCAGAGCAAAGCGAACATTGCACATTGCACGCACTTGTTGCGGTTCGAGAGAGAGAGAGAGAGATAGATATAGATATAGAGAGACACACAGATTCGAATGCACATGCAGATGCAGATGCAGATAGATCTTATAGAACAGACATTATTAAATAGTATTTCCTACTCCATTTGCAGCCATGAGTAAGAATGGACACAGTAATGCGGGCTTTGTCAGCGACCATGCGGACACCGTGCAAAAGCCGATGGGGAAGACCCACTCCCTGGAGCTGGCCGAGAAGGGTGGCAGCAACAACAGTAGCAGCAGCAAGAACAAGGCCATAGTGGCCAAGGATCCCGACTACAATCCCTACCAGCATCGCGATGTGGAGCATCCCACAACGTAAGCAGAGATTGAACAGAGATCGAGCGTTAGGCACTTAAACTAATCCACTCCAAATCGTATAGCAATTCGGAAACACTGTTCCATCTGCTGAAGGGCTCTCTAGGAACGGGCATTCTGGCCATGCCGAATGCCTTCCGCAATTCTGGCTACATTACAGGCTCCATTGGCACCATTGTGATTGGGTTTATATGCACGTACTGCATCCATCAGCTGGTCAAAGCGGAGTTCGAACTGTGCCGAAGGAAGAAGGTAGGTTTCATTCCATGCCCATGGATTACAGATATTTATCAGTGTTCCCTATTCTCCGCTGCAGATTCCTAGCATGAACTATCCGGCCGTGGCGGAGACTGCTTTGGGCGAGGGACCGGGTTTCTTTAGGGCCTGTGCCCCGTACATTGGAACCGTAGTGAACACCTTCCTGCTGATCTACCAGCTGGGCACCTGCTGTGTCTACGTGGTTTTTGTCGCCTCAAACATCAAGGCCATTGTGGACGCCGTGGGGGACACGAACATCGATGTGCGCCTCTGTATGATCATCATCTTGCTGCCGCTGATCCTCATCAATTGGGTGCGCAACCTCAAGTATTTGGCCCCATTCTCCACGTTGGCCAATGCCATTACCATGGTCTCCTTTGGCATCATCTGCTACTACATCTTCCGTGAGCCCGTTTCCACCGAGGGCAAAGATGCGTTCGGCAAGCCCGAGAACTTTCCGCTTTTCTTCGGCACCGTTCTGTTCGCCTTGGAGGCCATCGGTGTTATCCTACCGCTGGAGAATGAGATGAAGACACCGCAAAAGTTTGGTGGAAACTGTGGTGTCCTCAACGTCTCAATGGTCCTCATTGTGTTCCTCTACGTGGGCATGGGTCTCTTTGGCTATCTCAACTACGGCAACGCCGTTCTGGGTTCCATTACGCTGAATATGCCGGAGCATGAACTGTGAGTGGAAGTACCAGTCTCCCCTTTCGACCTTTCCTTAAATCTCTTTAATCTTTAGCCTGTCGCAGTGCGTGAAGGGTATGCTGGCATTTGCCATCTACATAACCCATGGACTCGCCTGCTATGTGGCCATTGACATCACCTGGAACGACTACGTGGGCAAGCGGTTGGGTCCCCAGCGCAACAAGCTCCTCTGGGAGTACGCAGTCCGTACGATTCTTGTCCTGATGACTTGTAAGTCGAAGACATGTACATATCTGTGGAATATCAGTTGATCTGATTATCTTTTTGTTCTGTAGTCCTTCTGGCTGTGGCCATACCCAATCTGGAGCTGTTCATCTCTCTTTTTGGTGCTTTGTGCCTGTCGGCTTTGGGTTTGGCTTTCCCGGCGCTCATCCAGATCTGCACGCACTGGTACGAGACCAAGGGGCTCCGCAAAGCCTGGCTTTTGTTAAGTGAGTAGACGTTCACGTTTCACCCGACACCATTGAGCATTTGCTTATTTGATTGCTCTTTTGTTTAGGTAACTTTGTGCTCATCATTGTGGGCATCCTGGGGCTTGTCATCGGCACTTACACCTCACTCAAGGAGATCGTCCTGACCTTCTCAGAGTAGTGTCTCGTCGCGCATTCAGTTCTAATTCGCCAGCCGGCATTCCAATTCAAGCGAAAGTATTATGAGCAAACGGAAGATATCTAAATCGGTAGACATTCGCATTCGCAGCACAAATGACAAGAGGATCGGCAGATGCAGATGCAGTTGCAGTTGCAGATGAGATCTGCTCTATTTTGTACAATGTGTAAACTTCTAATCTGACCTTCTATCTTTTATAAGATAGTAATCGTAACAGTTTATCAGATTTGTGATATTTTTAAGCATTGTGTAGTTTATAGAATTCTTTGATAAGTAGTTTAGTGCCAAGTCACATCTTTATAAGCCTTATTTAAAGTATGATATGATATGATATATGATATGATAGCAGACAACAATATAAATAAACATAAACCTTTTTTGCCATATTATGATACGCCTTGCGGATGGTTAGGGACGGGACAGCCAGCCCTAGGGAGTGGTCTCGAGCATCATATAATCCTTAAGCGCCTGGCAGAGACGCCGGGCTCCATCTACAAGCTTCGCCTTGCCGTGGAAGCCAATGGATAAACGAAATAATTGCTTACCACTCTCGCCATCCGACGCGAAGCGAGGCCCAGCTATGAACGCAATCTTCTGGTGCTCCAGACTGTATTCGAGGAATTTCCTGGCATCTAGAGTCTTCGGCAGGCGTATCCAAATGAAGTATCCACCACTGGGGCTTATCATTTTGCAGCTCTTAGGCAGCTCCGCCCTGAGTGTCTCTGTGGTGGCAAGCATTCGCTCTTTGTAGGTCTCGTGGAAGTGAGCTATCTGCTTCTGAGCAAGATTTAGCTTGAACAGGCTACCCACAATGCCGGCGGTGTAGTTGTTAAAACAGCCGCCGCTGTTGGCCAAGCCACTACCTTCCAGAATGGGCCTTATGCGTGGCGGCACCTCCAGCCAGCCCAGACGCAAGCCAGGGCCAAGAATTTTGGAGAAACTACAGTTCGATATGACATGGCCGGCGTATTCAGGATCTGAGCGAACATCATAGGAAAGCAGACGCGCCTCAGGCCTCTCGCCATAGTGCAAAATGTTATACACATCGTCGCACACAACAATAAAATCGTACTTCCTGGCTAGCTGGACAATGCCGCGGCAAACCTCTGAAAAATAGATTAGAGAATGAAATGAAAACTATTTGACCGGAGGACAGACCTACCTGGCGAGAACAGTATGCCCGTGGGGTTGTGATAGGTCGGAATGGTGTAGTACATTCCCCAGAACTCCTTGCTCTGAGAGCTGAATTTGTGCTTGGCCACCTTTTCGCCTAGATCCTGCAGATCAACGCCATCATCATTCAACTTGACTGGTACGATGGTCAGACTAGTGAAGTGCTTCATGCTATCCAGGGCTATCATATAGGTGAACTCATCCACAAATATATAGCCCTGGAAGTCAATCAACGTCGACAGCAGCAAATGTAGGCCGTTTGTGGCGCCAGCCGTAATAATCAAATCCTCACTAAAAACATAAAACAATGAAAGTCCAATCGTATAACGATTGTAGCCACAAAACCGCAGACCAACTCTTACCAGTTGACAGGGCTGTCGTACATGGCGCTGAAGTATGTGGCTATCTCACGCCGCACCTCGAAGCAACCATTTGTGGGTCCATACTGAAAGATAAGCGACTGATTTTCCTTCTTTTCATATTGCTGAAAAAGTGCACAAGGTCATTTGAATGGGAAATTGCATAATGAAGGCCGCCACTCGCTTACCAGACAATGTTCGGTGGCCTGCTGAAAGATATCGCAGCAGGACTCGAGAAGGTCAGTTCCCGGAGCCCCGACACCCAAATTGAGAATGTTTGGCTCGTAGACATTCCACGCGCCTCCATCGAAAAGATGCTTTAGCTTGCGTTCCTCGTTGGCACGTGACATGCTGGTCCGTAGAATGTTTGTCTTCTAATGGTCTTATCAATCCGAACTGCACTCATATTTATAGAATAGAACATAGTCAATTTCGTGATAACAAATGCGCTTTGTTGCGATGGCGTGCGAATGGCAACGGCAAGTGCCATTCACAGCAGCAAGCAAGCAAACAGCTGACCGCCGAAATTAATTGCATTGTTTTTCGAACATCGGAAAACTACTCCATCAAAAATCGAAATGGACACGGAGAAGCCTTCAACTAGTGCTGCTGCAGCTGCATCTGCTCAAGTAATGCAGGACCGGAATCCGCTCCTGGACTCGCCACTTCATGGGCCAACGCTCTCCAGCAGCTCCAGCTTCGAGGCACTGGCTCGCCACGACCCGAACCTCAGCCGACTGGCAACGCAAATGTTTCAGAAAACTGAGGAGTACATTACGCACGAGCTGAATGCTCCCCTGGAGGACTACAGGCTATTGGAAGAGATGAACAAGGCCACCATAGCCAAGTACAAGGACATGCGTCAAATTGCAGAGAACCTGAATGCATCTACCAGTGATCTGAGCCTCAAGTTCCAGCAGCTGGCCCCCCTAATGCAGCAGATCGATGAGATATCCGATACGGTGGATAAACTAGAGGCGGCTGCCTACAAACTAGACGCCTACAGCATAGCATTGGAAAACCGCGTCAAGTGTGTGCTCCAACGCAAGGCGGGTACTCATGTGACCCAATAACCAGTGCAGGCCACTCAAAAATGCTTTTAGTATACTTTTTACAATAGATTTATGTCATTAACCAAGCAATAGCTTAAATATAATCGCAATTATGTTAAGAAATATCAAGGGAACTGCAATAAGAGGTGGAAATGGTAATTTATCTGTTCATTTTGTGATATGGAAGATGCTACGTACTTTTGGCAACTGTGCGAATGGAACGAATGAGATTTAACACTTGGTCCTTGGCCGTGGGGGCTCCAAAATCTTGCTGGCCTGCTTGCCGGCCCCAGCCAACTGAAAATGTGCTCAAGATTAGCGTCGTGGCGCTTAAGACTGCAATCTAGGCGAACTTACACTTTGCCAGAAAGCGCTCCTCGTGCAGGATACAGACGGCATTGAGGCACAACAGTGAGGCCTCGATGAGCGTCCAGAGAGTAAACATTATTAAACTATTGAGAATTATTTACATCGAAAAAACGACCGAATAATTGTTGACGTCAGTTGTCAGAAATATACCGAAACATACCTTCTTACTTTAAAAATATACCGTAAATATACTGACGAATTCAAGTTCTATTTTACATATTCCTCGTTTTTTATCTTCCGTGGAATATTCTCAGCTATATAGAACATTCAGCCATGCCCACATAATTTTATCCGATTGTTGAATCAATTTTCTACTTGACTGGCTTGTTTTAAATACTTGCTTTTGTTGGAGTTAGTCTAAAAAAGGTTTTAGCGAAGAAGGTGAAATAAATAAAACGTAAGAGAAAAATCGTTACTATTGCTCAATTTCTTTATTCCGTTGAATGATGCTGCCTAACTAAAACCAATAGCTCTGCCCACATCATTTTAGGCCATTAATAAATACATTTGCTACCTGATTGACTACTTTTAAGTACTCTCTTTTATTGTATAGTGTATAAAACAAGGTTTAAGCAAAAATGTTCAACAAAAAACAGTGGTAACGTAAGTGAGTATGGAATGTCACGTCAACCGGAGTTTGGGCATAGGTATACCCTATTTGGCTAATAATATGAAGAAACCGTTTTAAAACGTAATTAGTTAAGAAATTATTTCAGATTGTTATGTTTTGGACATTATTAATTATTAATATTATGCCATTCTCATTTTCAAAATAACCCAATGAAAAAAAGCTTAACCCACTGGACCGCCCTCTATTTAAAAAGGTGAACAAATTGATGTCCTATCCCTCCTGTCCCTCTTCCAACTGAACTGCGCTATTATTCTTCCAGTTTCAATATTTTGCGTGAAGTGTATTGTAATGCCCACTGTTAGACAATGGCTTAATCGTTCTCTGTGCATGATCGGAAATCATATTCCCCCATTATGATATTTGGTTGAATATTACTGTCTAGCTAGGACCCTCAGCCGTGAAAAGGAAACGTTTTCCGATTGATAGGTAATCAGATATAGCATGTACCAGAATACTCATTTTACAAATATTATACTCAGTTTTTATTATTATATCATTGGTATTTTCGTGGACGTTGACATGCAATGACTGCATCTTTCAAGAGGCGATGCAATTACTGCACCGTCAAGTGGCCCGTGTGACACCAGCAGTAGGCTGTTACGCGAGCATGCAAGAAAGATAGCTGTTAGACTAATATTCGAGGAAGATTAGCACTAAAGTTTCTAAGAGAACTAGGCATACATTCAAAATAAAAATAGAGATACCACTACAATTACTAATTACTAGAAAGGTGTGTAAGGATGAGTAATTTAATAAGAGGAAGAGAATTAGTGATGGAAATGATATGGGAGAGGGAATTATAATCCGAGCATAAGACCCTAAATGGTTCATGCAAGGAATAATTCGATCTACAAAGTGGAAGGAACAACGGTATAACATTTCTAGTAAGTCTAATAGGAATCGTGAAGTTTATGCGGCTCAACAGATCATGGCAGTCTATGTCACCACTGATCAAGTTGTGCATAAAAATCACACCAAGCATTTTTCTACGGTTAACTAAGGATGGGAGGTTTACTAATAGCAGTCTACTAGAGTAAGATGTTGAGTCTCACACCTTCATCCCAGTTAAGGCCCCGCAGAGCAAAGAGTACAAAGTTTTTCTCTACTGATTCACCGTACACGCACCATACACTGGTCCCGTATTCTAAGATCGGACGAACAACCGAGGTATAGAGAGTCTTTGTTATATAGGGGTCGTCAAATTCCTTTTACCCCCCTCTTAATAAACCCAAGCACGCCCATATCCTTATTTACCATGGTAGAAATGTGAAGCTGCGAATGCGCTCCAAAGTCAAATTTAAATGCTAGTTTTTGTATCATAATCTATTTTTTTTCAACTATCGACGGAAGTACACCTAGGGCACAATTAGACCAATTATTGTCTGTAAAAGATAGATTAGTTAGTGGTTAAATTATTCTCCACATTCACATACCTTTCTCAAGCGTCCAAATACCCAAGTCAGTGAACGGACGGACTTTGGGGTAGTAAAGTTCGTCAAACTGTTCCATGGGATCCACATCGAATGGAGTCTCTGCCAGCGGAATCAAACTAGGGCATGGAATGTTGGTTATAAGACAGAATAATATGTGTGCCTATTCACTTACGCCTTGAGGATGGGGGCTGAGAATGAACTTAGGTACGAAAGTCGCTTCAAGAAGAACTCGTGGTCAAACAGCACAGCGCGTGGATTCTTTCGGCTGCTGCCAAACATCAGAGTGAGCGAAAGATCCACGCCAGAGTGAGCTATAAGAGTACGAATAGTTTTTGGAAGTATGTGGCGGTTGAGAGACGAGAAATCCACAGGCTTGAGCTTGTCATTCTACGGGAGAAAGACCCTTAGAAAATAATTTTAAAATAATTTCAGATAGCCATACCTTATCCTGCTCTTCTTTGAACATGCGCTTTATGCGAGATATCATTGCGAAGGTTTCAATCATCTTGAGGGCCCAATATCTGGCGCCCAAACGCCGCTCATCCGGCTCATGGACATTTTCAGTGAGTTGTACGAGAGCCACAAAGATGTTTTCGGTGAACCCGTGGACGGCGATTAGGCTAAAGAGTCTCTCAGTGACCGCTATAATCTGTTCCTCATTGTCTTCTATATTGAGGCCTACGCCCATGAAATATTTCATTCTTAATATTTCCGCAACATATAAATCTGGCAGGTTCTTAACAGTGGACGCTTGCTTGACCAATTCGTTTAGCTTATTTATCACCATGTCAAGAATTTCGGTGGGTGTCTTCAGCTTATTTTTTGATAAATAGGCCCGTATTTTATTGAACTCCTTCGGCTTTATTTTTTTGATAGCCTTGAGGCTGTGAGCGCTCTTGATCTGGCACTCCAAGGCTAGGTCGAAAGCGGATAGCTGATGAGCCATCTTCTGCCTGAATTTAATGTTTTCCTTGCTCTCCAGTTTTGCTGCTTCCAGATCGCAGAGGGTATCCTTAAGCGGCAGCCAGTAGTTCTGATGAAGCCATTGTAGGCAGATGTCGGCAGCAGTCCGCAACAGATCCACGGGTGGCATTTCCGTGCCATGCGAACACTTGTGCCGAATGTCGACCACGAATGATGGTAGACCCAACTCCTGAGCCTTGTCGTACATGCTGCTCCAGTTGTGGCCTTGTACGGTGGACGACATGAAATTGAAGAAGCGCATAATGGCGTGGGCATAGATTTTCTCCAGATTCAAGTCGCCCTTCTTGTCGTTAAGCTGCGCCCGCACAATCACGGCAGTGGCCAGAGCAGCCGCGGGGCAAAGACTGCCTCGTCGGAGTTTCCAAATACGGATCATGGACAGACCCATCCGACGCTGATTGCTCGTTGCATTCTTCCCAAATATAAGATGGCATGCGTGTTGAAATTCCTCTCTGAAATTAAGTCTTGATCAAAACAATTACAAGCAACAAACCAAGCCGAACGTACGTGCATTTCCATGGTGCAACAATGGTTCTTTGTTTTGCAGCTGCTGCTATAGGTGGTGGCGTAACGCCGGGTTTGTCATTTGAACTCATTTTTTATTATTTTTATATTTTCAGTCTTTTAAATAATGAAATTTTCAGAAAAATGCCGAACATGCCGTCTTACTTTAAAAATATACCGTAAATAGACTGACGATCTCAAGTTCTATTAAACATATTCCTCAATTTTGATATTCTGTCGAATATACCCTGCTATATAGAATATTTAGCCATGCCCACAGAATTTTAACCGATTAATGAATCAATTTTCTAGTTAACTGGCTTATTCTAAATACTTGCTTTTATTGGATTTCTATATAACGTTGAAAATTAAAATTAATGGATTGCTGAAATCGACAAAATATACCTTTATATACCGATATACCGTAAATATACCGTCAGTTCAATTTTGACCTAAAAAATGACGAATAGCCCTTTCCAAATTCTGACCCTCAGAAATATACCATATCTGAAGCCGATGAAAAACGAACATAACCCACTTAAGCCTCCCCTTATTTTAATTAGGTGAACACCCTGAGATAAACGGGGAAAAATAGTACTGGCTGTAAATTCTTCTTGTAGTTCCATCCTTCAAGATTCGTAATTTTCGTGGAGTGTATTTTAATACCCACTGGGCAACATGGGGTTAATTATTTTTTGTGTATGATCGGAAGTCAAATTCGTCGATTTTTATATTCGATTTAAAATAACTAGGCAGGACCCTCAGCCCTGATCACAAAAATGTCAAGGCATAAAACAGAAGATAGTGTGGAATGTCACGTCATTTCTGAAATGGTGTTGGCACTTGAACACTTGTTGCATGTCTACCGGTAGTATGGACATTTGTATACCCTATGTCGATAATTAATTATGACGGTACTGTTTTCCAAGCTGCTTTGAACCGTAATTAATAATGTCTTTTTTATAAGTTCACATGCTTGTGACATATTAATGCATAAGATATGTTTTCTGTTTATATATCGCGATCCCGATCCGATATAGTCCGTTAGCTTCCTCTAAGAATACCATTAACTGAAAAATCGAAATTCGAAGCACTGGCACAACAGCTGTTTGCCGATTACAACTCGATAGACAGGCAATCGATTGGCTTCGCCCGCTGTACAACACGCAAAGTTATCGTGCGGCTGTTACCCAACACTACAACGAACAAATCATATTTTTTGTACGGGCGTAATTAGAAAGCAGAAATTAAAGTTAACTTGTACGTCCTACCAACAACCAGACAGATCTAAATTGGGCGGTGCAGTGTATGCCCGCGCCATTTATCAAGTGGCATAACCGCGTATCAATTGCCAATCTAATAAGTAAACGTTTTGAACTACGTCGCCATTTTTGACACGGCTCCGAAATCATCGAAAACACAAACGCACACAAACACACACCCAGAGACCCAGACCAGAGCTGAAAAAAACCTATCTGATCCGAACCGAAACCGTGTTTTGCTTGCGTGTGTTTGTTTGTTGGTGTTTGTCTGGTGTGTGGTTACGTCTAGGAATTTTTTGTTAGCACGCATAGACAGCAGAGACATTATTAGCATTATTAGTGCACAATAAAGCGAAACTAAAACCACTGATTTTCAACCACCGCCACAGCAACAGCAACTGCGACGTGTACACCATCATCAGTATCAGCATCAGCATCTCAGCATCGCCATCGGCATCACCAGGAGGAGTAACAAATAGAAGCGCAACTGTGATTTTACTTTCATACGAATTAGAATGGCCAAGACGTACGACTATCTGTTCAAATTGCTGCTGATCGGAGACTCTGGAGTGGGCAAGACCTGCATATTGTTTCGATTCTCAGAGGATGCTTTCAACACAACCTTTATATCCACAATAGGTGAGAATGCCTGCCCTCTTTTAAGACACCACTATCGATCGTTCCACGACATTACAATACGCACACATCATCGGATCTGGTTGAATACTATATTTAATTAATTATGACGCCGCCGTCGGGCTTCGCCAGTACTCACACATATTGACTCCACTTACACTCACACTCACACTCATGTGTGGTTGGCTGAGCGCTCGACTCAAGCTCGAGACCGTGGGCTGTGACTCACATCGAGAGCTCTTCTTTTCTTGCTTGAGTATTTGTCATAATTATTATTGTTTTTATATAGTACCCAGATAGGTGCGGACTCTTGGGCTCTTGGGGAGGGGCAAACGGATTGCCAACAAAGGAATCTGTAAACGGAAGAAGAAAACCTGACCAATTTGTGTGCTATTTTGGAGCTTATCGCAGCCCCGAGATATGCTATACACCCGCATAACAATTGGGTGCCTAAGCCAAGACTCACCCAAAAGTCATTGCACTTTCCAAGCTCTTATCGCGAGCCGCCCCTTGATGATTTTCTGTGATACGTTGCCTTCCCTTCCCTTCCCCACCCGGATTTCCCTTGCATTGCTGTGCGGAATCGACTTGCGGGGCAGCCGCCAATTGTTTATTTTCGTATTTGGCACGTTTCCCTCGCGCCAATTTCCACTTTTGGTCTATTTACTTAACGACATTGTTTTATTCAATTGCGCGTTTTGTCCCGCTTGTTTCTGCGTTCCCCTCTTACTCTTACTCTTACTGTTCTCTTGTCTTTCTCTTTGGGTTTCGCGCTGCTTCTCTCTTTTGGCCAGTACGTCATCATCTCATAGGTGCTTTTGCTTTTTTGCCTTTCTGCAAACAGGTTCAGCTTCTGCTTGCCAAATTTTATTCCGATTTACTCATGTGATTCTCTCTCTCTTTCCTTCTCTTCTGTATCTCCCACAGGTATCGATTTTAAAATTAGAACAATTGAATTAGATAACAAGAAAATCAAACTTCAAATATGGTAAGTAATTTAACTAATGCTATATTTTTATCAGCATTAATATCGCTCTATATATCTATCTGTATAGGGACACTGCCGGCCAGGAGCGCTTCCGCACAATTACCACGGCCTACTACAGAGGTGCCATGGGCATTATGCTGGTGTATGACATCACCCAGGAAAAGTCGTTCGAGAACATCAAAAACTGGATCAGAAATATCGAAGAAAATGCCTCCGCCGACGTTGAGAAAATGCTGCTGGGCAACAAGTGCGAATTGCACGATAAGCGACAGGTACGAAAGAAAAAGAATGAGTTATTGGGCTATTGTTAGATTCGCTTAAGGGGACTTTATCAATGAGAGTGGGGTTGAATCATTAAGCAATGGAAACGATATTTCATTTATTGGCAATTTCTCTCTCACTGTCTCGAAGGTTTCCAAGGAGCGTGGCGAGCAATTGGCCATCGAGTATGGCATCAAGTTCATGGAGACCTCAGCGAAAGCCAGCATCAATGTGGAAGAAGCTTTCCTCACCCTAGCCAGTGATATCAAAGCGAAAACGGAAAAGCGAATGGTGAGTGCATCCAATATATCACAATGCTAATCCTCGCTCATACGCTTGTTATCCGTGCAGGAGGCGAACAACCCACCCAAGGGCGGACATCAGCTAAAAACGCTAGACAGTCGGACAAAGGACAGTTGGCTGTCCAGATGCAGTCTGCTTTGACGTGGCTGCAACATGTGGCTGATGGCACCGATACTGATGCGGCATGGTGGTAACAATTACGATTACACTGTATGTGGAGGAAGTAGTTTTCTTAGCTCCTGTTAGATCTGATCCCCACGAGACACCGAATCACTGAAACAACAAAACATCCCAAACAAAAGCCAGCTCCTGCTCTCCCCGAATATGCGCGATAATGGAATAGAAACATTGATTGCATTATGAAACAATTTATTAAATAAAGTATATGACGACGGTGTGTGCGCGAAATATACATAAATATAATGATACGTACATATATAGAGATATAAAAAACAAAAAAAAAACACAAAATCCAGCCGCCAAGAGAAGGTGGAAGAGCAGCCAATCCAATCCAACCCGCCCGCGTCCTTCTCTAAGAGGTTTTTGTTTAGTAGTATTTTAGTGTAACTATGATTTTCTGCAGGCAGCCCCATGTTTGCGCTGTTGTCGATTGTAAATTATTAATTGTAATGCAAATATATACATGTGTATGTGTGTAAATGTATGAATATAATTTAGGTTTCTTGTCCTTGTCTGCTCACCATTTTTTTTGTATTTTATAATTTATTAATTCTACCTATATACATATGTATACTTACAGACAATCCTTTGCCATTTTGTTAGAAATATGCAGCATGTTCAAACACGCACAAAACTCTATAAACTCCCCCGACACACTGATTTCTACCACCACTCGCTCATGTTCTCACTCTCAACTGCCACGCGATGATATCTGTATCTAATGTGGTGCGGGTGCTGCTCCTCTTAATTTTTGTCCTTTTGCTTCACACACATTTCATTCGAGTATTCATATTTACTGTGTTTATTTTGTTTCTGCCGCATGCCACACACGACTGTCAATAGCCCGTTATTTCTAATAAATAAAACATAGCCGAGCGGAGTATTTCCAGCAGATATGAAAATTAAGAAATTACTCGTACCGTACCGCTCGTCGTCTCGATCGATAGGTACAAACATACGAGGAGATGATGATGCAGCAGCAGAGCAGTGAAATAAATATTGTGAAATTAAATGATAACTAAATGCATATTCGATACTAATTAATTACTTGTAATATTAATTATTAAACGTATACAATTTTATAAAAATACAAAAAATAAATCATGTGCAAAAGTATACAAATATACATATGTATTCGTGTACGTAGCCTATTAGTGGATCATCAGATCATGGAAGAGGAGAAGCTTTGTCGTTCTGGCAAGAAATCTCCCGATTACCTTTGGGCGGGGGGCCGGCAGATGTATTTTAAAATTATGGCATACTTTCAGGCCGTATATAAACGTATGAAGTATCTTTTGGGGTTGATGGGCTTAGAAATGATAGCATACTTCCAGGATAATAAGGAGAATAAGGATAATTACCCTTAATAAGGAGTTCCCATTTTGGGCCGATGAGATAATCCATGGCACGCATTGATCGGCTCACAAATAACGAAGAAAACCAGAAATATATTACTGAAGGAAATATCCTTGATCCTCGATAAGGATTCCATCAAGGATTTTCTGCCAATCACAGGAAGCCGTCGCACGTCAGGATCGGCCTAAAAATAACGGAGAAAAGAAGAAAGCAAAGCTGGCTTGTTGTCATTTGTTGTTATTGTCAGTTTTTGTACAACAACAACAACAACCAATCCTCAATTTGCAGTCGCCCAAATGGCCGAAAACGAGAAAATTTCAGACCGAGGTACCGGGCGAACAGAAATCAGCGGAAGGCAACTTAAAAAAATCGATTTTTTTTGCATACTTTTGGGGCTGAACAAAAGCGAAGTTGCTTTCTGCTGATTTCTGTTCGCCTGGTACCCAAAATTAAAATTGGTCTTTTTCGGCCATTTGACGACGGATTTATTTGGAAAATTTGCTTTGGCTATATCTCGACTACTTATGGGCCGATCGGGACGCGGCATGTCTTTTCGTGATCAGGAGAGTCCTGCCAACCGATTGGCATCAGAAAACAGAACATCCAGCTTATCACGATTTTCGCAAAAAATCATGATGTAACCATCATTGAATTTGCCAAAAATCTGACTCGTTTTCGAAGTCGAGATTTTGACGCCGTTCGACAGGCTGGATCCTTGCGATCCTGGCCGAGTCGGCCCTTCGCCGATCTGGCCCTATTTGCCTGAGATATATTCCGAAGATTGTGATTTGCGTATCTTTAAAATACTGTTTTTTTCCGCAAGCTATATCTCAGCTACACAGCGGCCGATCGGCGCGAGGCATGACTTTTCGTGATGGGGAGAGTCCTGCCAACCGATTGGCATGAAAAAAAGGACATCCAGCTTATCACGATTTTCGCAAAAAATCATGATGGTTACATCATTGAATTTGCCAAAAATATGACTCGTTTTCGAAGTCGAGATTTTGACGCCGTTCGACAGGCTGGATCCTTGCGACCCTGGGAGAGTCGGTCCTTAGCTGAGATATAGCCTTCCGAAGATTTCGACTTTCACATCATTCAAATACTGGTTTTTTCTGCAAGCTATGTACATATGTATATCTCAGCTCAGCGGCTGCCGCTCGGGGCGTGGCATGTCTTCTCGTGATGGGGGGGAACATCTTCGATGGAGTCCTTGTCAAGGATCAAGGATATTTTCCCCACTCATGCATATTCACTTTTTTCCTCCATTTCTTGTCCGATCAGGGACTCCTTTTTGTATCCGGCGGAACATCCTTGATGCAGTCCTTATTCTCGCTTCAGCATAAAAGTCTGCTATCCGCCTCTAAATACATCTGATGCTTCTTGCATTTTCCCGCTTACCCTGAAAGTATGCCACAAGCGATGGTAACACTAAAACAATGTAAAAGCCATGTAGAAATGTCATTTAGAGATGCCTCATTATGTATTCAATGTGTAGCAAACTGTGTAGTTACCGTATACAAAAATTCATTTGTGCGATCATAAGTGATTAAACACTTTTGATTACTGTACCATTTGATTAAATGCGCAGACTAAATAATGAATTATATATTTAAAAAACAGTCCACAAAACGGTGACATTTTGCTTAATATTAAACAAAGAATTGGACAACTTAAGAGTAGAAAAAAAATACGATTGTACGATACGAACATTTTAAGAGCAGGAGCAGCAAAACAACATACATTCATACGCCACATACGACACAGGGGGGACACAGGAAAGTGCAGTAGTAAATGATTTACGGTGATCAAATAGGAATATACATATTCTATATATGTATCTATGAATATGTATAGCAATATAGCTAAGGGAAATTGCACATTGGTGGCCATGGACGGGCCGCGTGTTACGCCTGTGGCAGGTTCTGATAATAGTTGGCCAGAATTTTCCAGGCTTCAGGCTCCATGAAGCCAACGGGCGGACTGGCACCAGTCTTGGCCAGTGTGCGCATCTTGGTCCCCGATATAAACTCGAACTCGTCCTTGCGCTGTGGCTCGAAGAAAGCCATCCGGCTGGCACTATTGTCGTAGGCGGCCACGCGGAATGGCAGGATCTGGGAAAAAAATAGAGAATCAGAGTTTATAGTTTTATATCCCAGCTACAGTTTCAGACAGCTACCGCTACCCACCTCCATGCTGTCCAGACCCTGGGCCATCTTCAATACTCGCGCTCCATGGGTGGCATCGTACAGATTACCGTCGGGATAGGCCCCCTTATCCGGGTGCGGCATGCCGGCGGGATCTCGGCCCACAATGTAGAAGTTGGCGCCAGCATTCATGCGAGCCTTGGCATGCCACTGCACCTCCGTTGGGCCGGCGTACATCATGGGCGATGGAAAGATGGCCAGCACAGTGTCCTCGCGCCGCAGAACGCCGGCATCGAGGACGGCCTGGTGCTGCCTCATGCGTACGTCCAGGGGCACATCATCGTCCTTGGTCCAGCCGCCCAACGGATGCAGCAGCAGGACTGGCTGCTTAAAGCCCCGCTCGAGCAGCTGCCTCTTGGTGTCCTGCATGAGCAGGGCGTGACCGTTGTGAATGGGATTACGCAGCTGGAATGCGAAAATTGCATCGGCGTTGAGCTCCTTAAACTTTCGGCGCAGCTCGTTGGGTGTCAGGCGGTACTGGTCGAGTCCATCGTCCCAGCGGATGCGTTCGATTACGGCGAGATCGCCGCCCACGAGATACTCGCCGGACTCGAGCACCTGCTTGCTGTACGGATGGTTGGGATTGCTGGTGCCGAACTGGCGGGCCAGGCGCTCCTCCTTGCGCTGGAAATAGAACTCTGGACGGCGTAGAATGGCCACTGGCTTGCCCTCATGCGTCAGCGTTAGTGCGGACACACCGTCCAGGCGCTCCTTCTCGGCTGCAGTGGCGCTGAGCACAATAGGCACCGAGTGGTTCTCGCGGTAAGAGCCGTCCATTCCACTCTGGAGTGTGTTGAAGTGCAGCGTCTGCAGGTATTCGTCCTCCCGCATAAATCCCCGCAGGGGATAGGCCCATCCCTCGGACAGCACCTGCACCCACTGCAGCTCCACGGTGCTGATTGGCAGCGCCTTCAGGGATTCCGCCTCGTGGCGCAGAGCGTCGCTGGCAGTGGACTCGCTGGGGTACAGCTCTGGCAGCAGATCCACGTCACGCAACGAGCGCGGAATGATGCCCTCCTGCTCGAGTAGTGTAACCAGCTTCTGCGTGGACTCCTGCACTGTGCACTCGTGGGTGCTGACCACCAGTTCCGGCTTGTGGGGCCGCTCGTACTCCTGCGTGATGCCAGTGAAGCCCTTGATCACGCCCTCGCGTGCCTTCTTGTACAACCCCTTGACGTCGCGCGTCTCGCACACGTCCAGCGGCGTGTCCACGAAGATCTCGTAAAACTTTAGGCCCGCATCCTTGTGTATCTTGCGCGCCATTTCCCGGTCATCGGCGAACGGCGACACGAAGCTACAAATGGAGACCACGCCGCTATCAGCAAACAACTTGGCCACCTCGCCCACCCGCCGGATGTTCTCCTCGCGCTCGGCGGGCGTGAAGCCCAGGTTCTTATTCAGTCCAGTGCGTATGTTGTCCCCGTCCAGGCCGTAGGCGGGTATGCCACGCGACACCAAATACGCCTCCAACTCAAAGGCAATCGAGGTCTTGCCAGCGCCACTAAGACCTGGGGAAAGAATTACAATTTAGGGATATACTTGGCTGACCTGATCGCAGGACTCACCCGTCAGCCACACGGTGCATCCACGAAAGCCGCGGCACAGTCCCAAATTCTTCCCGCGCGTCTCACGGGTGACATGGTGCTTCTGTTCCGTCACATTCGTCGCCACTTGAAGGCACTGCCAAGAAACAAACAAACACAAAGGTAGAATCGAGAGCTTAGCTTTCCAAATTATCATAAATTAATATTCATGTCAAGATGGCGATGCCGCCGTCGCCTCAGGCCGTTGCTGGTTGTCTGCCATAGTCAGAGCCAGAGCCTAAAGCAGAGTCATCAAAATGTTTCGCGCTTTGACCCTAGGGCGATCGATCTGAGAGCTTTGTTGTTGTTGTTGTTGTTGCTGTGCTCCATCGCTCAGTTTGTTGACCTTTCCGCGAAGCTCGTGTCTGCAGAATCGCGAATGGGATAATGGGGTTCGCGCGGATATGTCAGATAGGTCTCGTATCTCAATATGAAATGTGGTACATATACAATGTGTTCAGTCATGTGAAGGTTGGGCAGAAGACTGACGATACAAAGTGGGCTACAACTCTTCTAATTTTTGCTACAAATAATCGATTGCACTTCACTAGAATACTAGCTTTTATCTGCATTTACTTGCATAGATTTTAAGCAGATGTGGCTGGTGGGTTGTGTGGCAGTCAGTCATACTTCTTGGCTCTCCATGGCATCGCCTCTGTCTTGAATCTTATTAAAAAAAATTGTCCTCTTCCTTACCCTTCTTTTGATGTGCGGATAAAAGCCAATGGGAGGATTCGGCATTTCTTTATATTTCTTTAGTTTTCGCGACACTTTTTTCGGCTTGGGAAATGCTTTACGCTGAGCAACTGATAGCAGCGCGAAGTCGTCGATCCGTAAATGGGAATGGAATTGAAACTGAGCTGAAACTAATCCAAACCGAAGATCTCCGTCATAGACAACGCGACCGAGCGTTGAAAGCGAACTGAAAGTTTTCCATAATATTTACGGGTTAAATATGGCGCAATCTGCAGCTGAAGGTAGCAGCAGAAGAGTGGCAGAGAGAGAAAGAGAGAGATAGAGAGATAGAGAGAGAGAGAGAGAGGGATCCGGATGGATCCACGCACGCATCATTGGGATTCTCCGACTCCAGATGGTGGAATGGGAAAAATGTTTGCACAGTCTTTCTGCTGCTTTCTGCTGGGTTTTGTTCTTTCTGTTTCTGCTTCTCTTTCGGTTCTTTCGCTTCTAATTTGGCTTAATAATTTTGTATAATTTCTTAGGTTCTGGAAATGTTCGTAGAACGCCCAACGAGCCGGTTCTTTGCGAGCGCCCCCCCAAGGCAAACCGAAGAACGGATCTATAGCTTATTTCCCAGGTGGATTATTTATTGGCTAGCTTTGAAGATGTAAGAAGTTGTTGGAGTATAATCTCTCCAGCATATCTCTTAGTATGATCTTACCTCATCGCTGGGCTTTCTTTCATCGTTCGAGAGCCAGCAACACTCTGGGGAACTGGCACACGGAATGTTATTGTTATTATAGTGGCCAAGCGAATTGGCACATTGGGTAAACATTTTCCACAGCACAAAACACACCCGTCCCGTCTCGTACTTGGGGCAGGTGAAAAGAAAGCTGGCGAGCGGATAGGAGCGGAGCGGAGAGACTACGCGTGTATACGAATACTACTCTCTGATAAGCTGGCAAGTGAGAGTTTCCGTCGCGTCGTCCGCGGCCAAAAGAGCTGCTGAACTTTCTCGACGAAGCTCAAAACTGCAACTGAAATTCCAGGGGCCTGCAGCAAAGCAAACAGAGAAGCCCCGACGCTGACAGACTGATTTCTGATCTGATCTGCTGGGATGTGATAGGCACAGTGGCTAAGGCTTGGGCTATGTCTGTGGCTATAGTACAAGAACTTGTTTATGGAAGGCGTTTAGTGTTCAGTGTTTGGCTATTTCTAGTGAGAGTTTGTTTTCCAAATACTCGCACCAGCTAAGTACATACAGATCTTGTATTGTTGTCGACGAATATCTAGCCATAACCCAGATCCCCAAAAATGAGTCATTTTTGATAGAACAAAATGATATAGGATTCTTTTCTAATCTTATCTTGGGTACTCCGGCCGCTGAAGCTTAACCTGTTGGGGGCAAAGGATGAGTCTGCCTATCTATTCGTTTTCTTATTGTAACGAACATTACATTGTTCGTTAGATAATTAATATTTGCGTCAGACAACGCTAGTTTGCAGTTAAAGTCATGCTGTTGGGTAATGCTTCAGTAATGATTTAACCAATGATAAACAAGTGGCAATTACAACTAAAAACAATTGTTCAACGATCAGCATGGATGGAACGGAGCTTGGATCCACAATGTGCGCGATTCAAAAGAACTCTGTGAAAATGACACGTAATGCAAAGACTACCGAAAAATAAGATCAATTTATGGTATAAAATAGCGTTTAACAAGTTTTTAACTAGACAGCAGCTTTTAGCGGGCCAAGTGGAGCTCCGGCCTCATCTCCTCTAACACTCAGAGTTGGAACGGGATGGGACGGGTCTCCACACTTGCAGACTGCAGTTGGGTATCTTTGCCAGAGAGACTTTCTTTCTAAGTGGCAACCGAACCTGTTTCAGCCAAAGTACACGAGTATAAACACTTGTAACGTCAACCAGTTGTTGGTAAGGAAATAGTTGCACGTTGCATAAGAAGCATTTCATATAAAAAGAGCATTAACCTTTCTTTATGTGCGACCAACGTAATACAACATTTAGCAATTCCGTATTTACATATGTAGGTAATGTTTTCTCCTACTCGGCTTTAAGGGCATTTTAGACCAACAACAAAAGAGATCCTCCAGTCAATGACCAATTCATGCTACAACTAAATACGAGAACGTATACGGCAGATCCGGCATGACTTTCGCAATTTTTGATCTGCCAATTCGTTACAATATTGTATGTTGAATGTTGCTGCTAAATTATTTAATTACTGTTATAGTGGTTTCCTAAATAAACTCAAAATAGCAAAGGTCAGCTTTATTTGGTCGACACGTGCCGCTGCATCTGCCCTTCACTGCCAATTTTTCTGCCAAATCAACAGTTTTTGCATACTGTTTTATCTGCAAGCCTGACCGTAAGTAACCGAACGTTGGAGAAGTTGCAAAATATTAATCAGTTTTTGAATTCTTATCAACTGTTAGCATACATATGAGTATACATATATGTAAATATAAGTAGTATATTCATTTATATATTATGAGAATCGTGCCAATTTGATGCTTTTTTGTAGCCATGTAGCTCTAATTGGGTCATAATAGAAGAGATAAGATTACGATGGTAGGGAAAGGGGCGTGCTTAGAGTACTGAACGTATTACCAAATAATATAAAACTATGTGCTTTTTTCTGAATGGATCAATTGGTAATTTGTTACTAGGCCAAGTACAGAGAATGATGTATGTTTAGGGTATGGAGAGAATTCAGAAAACAGCCCAGCACAACAGCTGTTCAAACAGGGTCCCACTTGAGCCCAAGACATCCGTATCCACCTGTACCGTTCGCCCCGACATCCACGTCAGTTGCAGTTCTTTTTCATCTTTAACACAATTGTACAAACAGAGACATGGTTTATGGCCTGCTTTCGTTCGTTTTGGGGCCACGGCCACCTTCACCGCCACGTTTCACGGCTCTGCTAGTACTTACCGTCTTCTGACGCTTTTTACTGGTCTCCGGCGTTTCACTCATGTCTGGAACGTTTGACACACTAGCTCCGTTTTACAATCAATGGTAAATGGTAAACAATACTGCGAAACAGCTACTAGTAGATTAGGATTAAATTTCGACTTCAATCGATGAATGAAATGTTTCACACACGCGGAACTGGTGCTGGGCTCGGGGTTCTACATATATGCTTGCCTCGCTCAAGCTGAACTAATTGCACTAATTAACTTTGAACTTAGCTCTAATTTAAAAAAATTGTTAAATATCACACAAAACACAAAATTTTGATGACTCCTATTCCACAAGCACGCACACACACACACTCAGACACACTATGCATACATTACCAGTCAGCTGTTTTGCCAAGTGCTAGAGATGGGTTATCCGCGATAAATTAGCTATCGAGGGAACATTTGTTAACAATTTAACAAATTTGTTATAATTATTCTGATATATATATCTATTTTTTTTACCCTTTTTAGTAAATTAAAATGTTTTAATTTCTTAATCTCTTTTTATTAAAAAAAAGGCTATAAATATTTTTTTAGAGTAGGGGTCTTACAAACACTAAGGGGCGATGTGTCTACAATCTAATAGGGCGGGGGTTGATGTTGATATTGCTGCTGCTGCCCCATCATGTTCTGTCGCTGCAGCTGCGCCACCAGATTGGGCGTTTGTTGCTGGTTCATGCTTTGCTGCTGCTGCACCATGCCTCCCCCTCCTCCACCAACTCCAGCCCCACTGGCCTGCTGTGGTCCTGCCCCCATTCCACCACCCCCGCCGCCACCCATGCCCTGCATCTGCATCATCTGCTGATGCCGCAGCTGCTGCTGTTGCTGCTGCTGCTGGAATTGTTGCTGTGTGCTGAGGACACCTGGCTTGCCGCCTCCCGCTGGCTGCTGTCGGGCATACGGCGGCACCTGGCCAACCCCCACCCCGACACCGACACCCACGCCGCCCGGCCCGGGACCCATCATGTTGGACATGGTAACGTTGGGTGCCTGGTTAATGTACTGACCCCGGTTTCCGGCCATCATTCCGCCGGGGACGCCCCGTTGCTGCTGCTGTTGTTGTTGCTGCTGGGCTGCTGCCGCCGCCATAAAGTCAGGATTGTTGCGATTCGCCTGCTGCATTTGCGGATTGAAGTTGCCCATCATGTTGGCCTGCTGCTGTTGCTGTTGATTGGGCGCCATGCCCACGCCCACGCCCACGCCAACGCCTCCGCCTTGTTGCTGCATTCCCTGCTGCTGTTGTTGTTGCTGCTGCTGCTGATACTGATTCTGGAAGTTCTGGAACTGCACCTGCTGCTGAGGCTGCTGTTGTGCCTGTTGCTGCATCATGCCCTGCTGTGGCATGCCACCCATGCCCATGTTGGGATTGGCTCCAGTCGTGACACCGACTCCAACGCCCACGCCCACGCCAACGCCAACGCCTACTCCGTTACCTCCCTGTGCGCCTCCAGTTTGCATCATTTGATTGGCATTCGGATTTACCATGCCCACCATTCCCTGGGTCATCTGTTGTTGCATCATTGAATTCTGCGGTATGCCCTGGCCGCCCATATTCATCTGGTTCATCTGATTGGGAGCCATGCCTGGCCGCATGTTTCCACCCCTCATGAATTGCTGCTGCTGCTGGTTGGGGTTCATCTGCTGCTGCTGCTGCTGGGCATTTTGTTGTTGCTGCTGCTGCATGGCATTGAAGGCAGCCACCGACTGCGGATTCTGCTGGGCAGTCATCTGCTGTTGCCGCATTTGGTTGGGATTCATTTGCTGCTGCTGTGGACCCGGCTGTTGCTGTGCCTGCGGCTGCTGCTGTTGCATTGGATTAAAACCGCCGCCTGGCTGCTGTTGCTGCTGCTGCTGGAAGGGCTGGCGCTGGCGCAACATCTGGGACAATGCCTGTTTGGAGTTGGCGTTTTGGGGAGGTCTCTCGATGCGATTCGCTAAAATAATTTCATTGATAAATGGGATTCTCTTTCCTTGTGATCCTTTACTTACATTGCATATTCTGCTGGTGCGGCGCATAGTGGTTGTGGTACTGCTGCGGCGGCTGCTGCTGCTGGGGGGCATTATGCCATTGCTGCTGCTGTTGCTGGCCCGGCAAGCCTTGGGGACCGGCGGCTCCACCTCCCGGTCCCTGTTGCATGAAGTTCATTTGAGGATTCTGCTGTCCGTTGCCACCCCCAACGTTTAGTTGCTGCTGCAGCTGATTGGTTCCCATTTGCTGCATTTGCTGCTGCTGTTGCATGAGCGCACTCTGCTGCATCATGTTGGGATTGGGAGCAAACTGCTGCATGTTCATCTGTCCAGAGGGGGACGTCATTTAGATTTGTAAGCCTTACTGGGATCTACAGGTACTTCTTACCGGCATGTTCATCTGCATTCCCATCTGGTTTGGCTGCATCTGCTGCTGTTGCATGTGCTGCTGCTGCTGCATTTGCTGCTGTTGCTGCTGCACATTCGGCGGCTGCTGCGGCTGGGGCGCCAGCTGTGGCTGCTGCTGCTGTGTATTGACCACCGGCGGGGTCTTTGGGTTCTTAGGCTTGCGTTTCCGCGTTGTCGTCCCCTTGCCGCGGCCGCGACCAGTGCCTACCACAGCACTGGGCGACTGGTCTACGGAGGAAGGCGTGTCGGCCTTCATCATTTCGTCCTTCTGAAGGGTAGAAACGATAGGCGTCACCAAAGGACTGTGTGGTGGCCACTGTCCCACTGTTTTATCACTTACTATGCAAATCTTCTCCGGCACCGGCTCAATGTCCTCGGGCGGCAGTGGCAGCGGTTCGTAGTAGTAGCTACTCGGTTTGACCAGGCTGTGCGTGTGGTATTTGAGATTGCGATGAGCCTCCTCGTAGGTGAGGGGTTTGCGCTCGAGCTTGACAGCCCCGAACCAGACCCACGAAAGGGGAGCAGGGTTCTTGTGGCCCTCGAGGATGTCCCACACGCTGATCCGCTGCTTGTCCGATATCCGCAGCTGTTTCTTCTCCATGTCGCAGATTTTGTTGCCCTTGGTATCCATGCCAGCGTGCTCGCAGGCTATCACCTGGAAGGCGAGATGGATGTATGTCCCATTATTTTCCAT